AAGATGATGAAAGAAATTATAGGAAAAATATGTTTACCAAAATTTATGGGGTCTATTTTTATTGATTATTACAAAGACAAATGGTCATCTAGTTGAAAATAGATCAACATAGAGGAGTTATTATCTATAATAATTCATCTTTCCAATGATTAAAGAAGTCATGATAAAACCATTACAGCTAAATGAAAATAAGCGACAAGAGGTAGAATGTATTAGATGTTAGAAATTGAAAAGCATCAATTAAGAGGTGAGAAAATAAGTCAATGTAGTTATTTACTAGTGAAAAATATCCGACAACAAAAGAAGAGTAAGAGAAATTCAAATAAGTAGAGCAATAGAGAAAGAGGATTTGAGATTCTAAATTAGTTTTAAAAATCTATAACTTTCATACAGCTTCACATTTTACTCAATAAAATCTATCCAAAATGCATATAATTAAGACATTTATAGATTTCGGGGAGGGATTTTCTCACCTATTTTGTCGAAATAAATCAAACTAGTTCCTTGAACCAAAAAACCCAATTTATTCTCTTCTTATTTGATAAAGTGATCAAAAGAACCAGCTCTAAGCAAGCCCACCTACATTAAAAAATAAAGTTAAATTCAACTAACTTGAGGAGATAGGTTAGCAAGAAGATGTACACATACACAAGTAATAGGTGTGACCAGATTATTTCTATATCATAAACCCAGCTCAACTTGTTGTTGGCAAAGGATCATTATAATACGTGTCTAAAAGCTTTAAATTGTGAGGGATTGGATCTCATAAAATCACCCAAAAATTTATTTTATTTGGCATGCAATGCTTTGTTACACATTTTATCAAAAACAATAACTCACCTTGGCTATTCATCTCAAGAACTTGACGACTTGTCCGATATGATTGTCAAAGCAAACTAAGATATTCTTATCCATAGAACTCGCCGATTTATCCCACAAAGGGATTCAAGCACTGTAGAGTTAATCATCTTATGTTCTCACAAATACCAAAAATATTTAGCTAGGCAGTTATGCCTTTTATATATATATATATATATAGCCCGCTCACGATAAAATGAGATAGAGTAAAATTCAAAAAAATTGTTAAATGAGCAAGTCAATTAAGATAAAAAAAAATTATGAGCGCAAATCTTTCAAAATTGAGCCTACTCGTTTGGTCCCACTAACCAATAATCCATGTCGTGGACAAATTATTCCCTTTGGATAATTATCCCCCACGAGACCCAATCATGGAGCTTGTAGGACCTAATAATAATCTGAAACACAAAATTTTTGACTTTTTTTTTCTCTTTGAACTGGGGATAACTTAGTTCAAAGACAAAACTTTCAACCACTAGGTCAAGAAGGCTTGCATATGAGATTTTTTACTTAGCAATCCCCACATGCGATATGTCGTGGATTTATTTTGTGCAATTTTTATTTTTCATTTATACTTTGTTATTTAACAATAGAATAAAAAACAAGGAATTTAGTCTACATTACTTGATTACTATTTTGAAAAACACATGCACTTGTTTCATGAAATACAAGATGAAAGTCCTTGAAAGTTTTTGGAAATGATGCTTTAGTATAATGATAGACTCTATTTATGAAAGTATGCCACAAATAATTAGTGATCAAGTGTTATGGCTTCTTTCTAGGGCACGAGAAGCTTCACACGGGTATAGTTCGTAATCTGTTAGCCAAGTTGTCTTGCCTGCTTTCCTAGTTATCCTACATTTCCTAGGTATTTTTTTCATCCATCTCTGTCTTATATGTGATCCTCTATTTCGTTATACTTTTTATTTAATAATTTATCAAAACTTTTTTTTATTATCTCCGTTTCCAGATCTATGAGCAAGTTCTTAACTTATCCATTTTCTTCGAAAATAGCCTTGTCCTCAAGGTTGAGAGATGGAGATGATTTTCATAATAAGGGAAGGTCTTCCCAACTGGCTTCTTCTTTTGTTGCAGCTGGCCATTTGATTTAAAGTTGTGTTCTTTTCATATCCTTTTTGTGAATATATCTGAAAGCTAAGATGGCTTATGGTAAGTTGATGTGATGATTATGGAAGCTAAGTACTGTTTGTTGTTCCAGTCAATATGGGCAATTATACTTCTAAATACTAGAGCATTTACATAGCCTATAATTTATTATAATGCACTTTTAACCATAGAAACAAATAATGCATAAAATTTTTAGTCTCCACGATCATAATTATTAACCCCTTGTTGTGAGAATATGTACTTCCTGACATAGAAATGAAACACAAAGAACACAAGCAAACACAGATCGTTTACGTGGTTCGATCCAACTGGATCTACGTCCACGGGAGGGAATCAATCAAATAGTTCACTAAGGCAAAAGAAATGGAGAATACATATCTTATACATAGAGATGAGCCCTCATATTCCTTCTATGGCCTCCCTCTCAAGCGACACCTTGATACAAGGCCTCAAGATGCTCTCCTCCTCTCTAGCTCTCTAGCTATTCTCTCATCCTTTGTGCTAGCTTAAGATCTCTTCCCTTGCTCTCCTAAGCCTCACACCCTCTCTATTTATAGAAGCAAGAGAGTGGTAGGTGAGTGGTAGGTGAGCGGTACTAAATTACAAAAGTGTATTTTTACCTTAGTTCAATAATTGAGTGGTCAAAATAACATCCCTCTTAGTTTATTTATTCACAAACCTAGAACTTAACTTTATTTGTAATTTTGTATTAGAAGCAAAAGTGCATTCTATGAATTCATTAATTATTTGTGCCTTTTATGGAATGAAATTTGTAAGAAAATAAATTAAAGCATTTATATCATACTAATTTTTGAAATTTTCATTTTAGTCGTATCAAATTGGTTATGATCATTATAAGCTTTTTATTTATTAGATAATTAAGAAAGTAGTTTTAAAATGATTGTTATTTTGCTCTCCTGATTTAAGGTTATATCAACATGCCACCATTTATAAGTATAATCTTTAAATGTATTTTTGAAGTCCTCCACCGGTGTCACAATCTCTTCTCATAGTCAGGCTTCTCTTCCATGGAAATGGACTTGTTGACCAGTGCTTATGAGCTGCAACGAAGATATGACCATTCTCAAGGTTGCAATATTTGCATTTTTCATTTAATGCCGGGCCTTTTCTTTCGACTTGTTCAAACTACTTAAATTTCAAATGTTGCATTAAGTTTGACAGTGATGAATATTCCATATTGCTGAAGCAGTCAGACCTCGGGCTTGATTTTATTCGTTCTGTGATTTGAGGAATGGTCGTTTAATTTTCGTAGCCCAAAGTACTTTAATACTGTCAGAATTGAATGATTTTGGGTTCGTTGGATTAGTCTTGTCGGGACGCTTAATTTTAATCGAAGCGTATCAGATTTGGAATCCTTCTAACCTTTCAATTAAACACTAATAGCTTTCAAAAATAGTTTAACGATTTATTCTAGGCTTGATTTTACTCGAATTAGACCAATTTTGATATCATTGAGATTCTCTTACTAAGCCGGCAGTTTGATTGTAAGCTTGTTGAAATCGAAGTTTTGGATAATTTTTTCATAAGAGTTTGAACAATTTTTGCACAAAAAATTACATCAAAATTTGTGAAATATCCCGAGATTCGTGCTATAAAATGGTTGATGGTGTACCAAATATTAATTCTCTTCACCTTTGTTAAACCTTTTTTAAGACGATTTTTAGATGAAGTTTGATCTAAGCTAAAAAGATTGGAAATTCAAATCAAAGAACAAATCCACTGGAATATTCTAAAAAGGATGGTGTTTGGCCGTAGACTGAATTAACGTTAAATAGGATTTATTAAATCATGTAAATCCGGACTTCATTTTTGCACAAAACGGCAGCAAGAAAATCTTAAATCGGCTAAATTTTTTTGCACAAAACGGCAGCAAGAAAATCTTAAATCAGCCCACAGTGGTATTTACGTCCTAAAACAGATGGAAAGCAAGAAGAAACTTTGGAACACAAATTTTCAATTTGATGTTTGGCCTGATTTAAGGAGTTAAGCTAAATTCATGGCTAAATTCTATTTAAATAATGCTACCAAACACCCCTGGTTTTGGAGAGCAATTTGTAATTCTAACCAGTAAACTAACAATCAATTCTTAAGACCAAATAATGCTTTGGCAAGAAGTCACCTTTACGAACTGCTGGGAGGATCCTAAGATTTCATGAAAGCGAACCAAATTCATTCCCAAAACATTACACAGATTTTCGGTATTGCCAAAAGTGACAGAGAAGCATATTTCTGAATTCTTCAGTTTGGCTTGAAGAACCATTTAGCAGTCGAGACTTTGAAGGCTGTTATAAAAGTGCAAAATAAATACCAATTTTCAGCTTGTTCAAAGGCTATGATATCATCTGCCGAACAACAGATGGCATAGTCTTGAAGGCTAATTTCTCTTCTCTTCATGAATTCCATCATAGTCCGTCTCGGTTTTCTCGGTGACATGCGTCTTTACAAACTATACCGCAATGAGCTATGGGAGCTCGGAATGTTTTGATAAGAATTGCAACCTTTTCACTCTTTCAGTTTCTTCCAGTAAGCAGTTGGACTGGTTCGTTTTGGTTTAATATTGCGGTCTAAAGGAGCAGCAGGAGGAGAGAAGATGAATTCCAGAGTATGGACCGCAGAGCTTGCCATTAAAGCAGCTCCGAAGAACGATAAAGTAAGAAACTTTGGCAGAAATGAGTGATGGCTATCGCCTTCCTCCTCTCCATTCGGATGTTCTCGACTTCTGAAAGTTGGGCATTTTATCGAAATTCGACATGGGTTTGTGGTTTTCTTGTGCTTCGATTGACTGCTTTTTGGTATTTTTGGTATTCAACTAAGTTCCTTAGCGAAAGTTGGCGCTATTGCGTGAATTTTAAAGCGTATAGTTATTCTTCGATACGCTTTCTCGGGCTTTTTTTTCGGATTAATTTATTTAGTATTTTTCTAACAACTGTTGGTTTCTTAGTGCGTCGGATTAATGTTTCCACGAATATTTATTTTACATTTGCACCATTTTCTTCTCAAGTTCTCTTTCCTTCTCTGCTTTTCAGGGGAAAGCCTTCGATTCCAAACCAGCTCTTAATGGGTGCTTCGATTTCACTTGGGAACCCTTCCCTTGTGGACAATGCGAGCAATTCGGACGAGAAGCCAAACGGGGTATTTTGATGAACTGTTTAATGTCCATTCATAAAAAAGTAAATATTTTTTTCTAATTCAAATTTTCTCTGTAAATCTCTCTGGATGAAGAAGATGGAAGGGAGGAGGTCGGAGGCAGCGGATAGATGTGAATTATCAGATTCATTCCAAGGCTCAAAACGAGGCATGTGGAAGAAGGAAGGGAAGATTGCTCTGCTGCAAGATGTATTCTTTCTTTTGTTGATTCAATCTGGCTCGCAATTCCACTCTTCCCACATAATGCTCTACTATTAACAGTTTTCTTCCATCTATAACAATTTGCAGGTTGATAAGCTGAGAAAAAAGCTTAAACTTGAAGAGAATGTCCACAGAGCATTGGAGAGAGCTCTTACAAAACCATTGGCTCTTCCTCGTCTCCCTCCTAATCTTCCTTCACATGTAAATCCATTCAACCATTCTACATTGTCTTTCTCTAGATGTTCGCGCCCTGAAATTCTATTCTTCCCTTTATATCAAGATCTTAGAGCTTCTTGCTGAAGTAGCCGTGTTAGAGAAGGAGGTGTTAAAGCTGGAAGAGCAAGTACTGAATTTCAGGCAATGTCTCTACCATGAAGCCATCTACATTTCTTCAACCAAAAGAATCATGGAAAACGGAACAGATCTGTGCCATGTTGGATTCTCATCACAGAAATCTAAGAATTCAGAGCAGTCCAAAGCTCAGTCTCTGTTAGCTAATTCTGATCCTTCAACTGGTAGCAATTCTCCTTCAATGCGTTGGTATTCAGATAGATATCCAAACCAATCTTCTTCTAATCGGTTCGCAAATGAAAAGCGGTTTCCAATGAAACTCATTTCTTCCTTCGCTGAGGACTCTATCAAGAATATCAAGCAAACAGTTGCAAAGAAAGCTTCAGGATCTAGAGTTCTGGATTCTCAGGTGAAATATCTGTGAACCTCTCCTTAAAACTGTTTATTTTAGTGAAGATTATATTTTTTACGAATTAATACTTTGTTTTTTCTTCTTGTTTCATTCCACAGCAAGAATTCCTTCAAACCAACAAGGAGAAGGTATCTGAAGATATAAATGATGCAAACAAGCTGTCAGAGGAAATCTTAAGATGCCTCTTGAGCATTTTGGCACGAATTAGCTTGCCAAAAAGCACAGCAGCTGAGAACAAGATACTCCCATCAGTATTAGTTTCTTGCGATAATTTAAAGGATGAAGAGTTGCAGGATCCTTATAGTATTTGCACAGAATTTGGAAGGAGGGACATCGGTCCATACAAGCATCTTCATGCTGTGGATTCAAGCTCATTTGATAACAATATATTCTCAAAATTTTCATCTCTTTATCATAGACTAAAGCAAGTTTGATTTTTTTTCTTCTTTTTTTTCCTAACTTGGATTCTTTTCTCCTCATGTTACTTATAAAATTTATCTTTATTTAGATTACTACTCGGGAAGCTTGCATCTGTTTGTATTTCAGAGCTTACTCATCAGCAAAAATTGGCATTCTGGATTAATATGTATAATTCATGCATGATGAATGTAAGCTTATTCCACAATATTTATTTGATATTATTCACTTCATATCTGAACCCAAATTGTTAAATTTTGATCAATTATCATTTGACATAACAGTAATGCAGTATATAAAATCCTCCTTTGTTTTCTAGGCTTTTCTAGAGAATGGTATGCCTACCAAACCAGAGACGATAATTGCACTGATGTCGAAGGTTTCTTGACTACTTTTTCCAGTCTTCTGCTATTCGAAACAAAATCATACTCTAAGAACTCTGTTCCTCATTCAATTCAGGCAATGGTGAATGTAGGCGGGCAATTGTTGAGTGCAATGACTATTGAGCACTTTATACTTAGATTGCCTTACCACTGGAAGCAAGTAAGAGGGACTGCTTTGAATTGCTTCAAAATTTTAATTTTGACATTGTCGATAGACTAATTTATAAAAATTAATTCTGCTTTACATACCTCACTTAAGCAATTAAAAGGCGAAGCGATGACAAGGTGGAGCATTTTTGGGTTAGATCGGCCTGACCCATTGGTCACATTTGCTCTTTCATGTGGAAGTTGGTCCTCCCCTGCTGTAAGTTGTTTTTAGCACTGAGGAAAGCTAATGCAGTAAGGCTGCTTCATTATAAGATTGAGCTCATCAAATAAAAATTCAAATAATTATATTTACATAATTTTTAACAGAAAGCATCTAAATTGTTCTTGCCTTAATTTGATAATAGGTGAGGATCTACACTGCTTCTCAAGTAGAGCAGCAGCTAGAAGAAAGCAAGAGGGATTACTTACAAGCTTCAATCGGCATATCAAAGCCGAGCCAAATGGCTATTCCGAAGCTTTTGGATTGGTACCACTTAGATTTTGCTAAAGATATGGAGTCGCTGATGGATTGGATTTGTCTTCAACTGCCAAGCGAACTAAGGAAAGATGCAGTTCAATGCCTTGATATGCGTAGGAGAAGCGCAATTCCTCGGCCAATACAAGTGCTTCCATATGAGTTCAGATTCAGGTATCTTTTGGAGCCATAGAAGTCTCTTTCGCTTTGTATGATCCAAATATGATATAGATTTTTCAAGGATTGTTGGTTTCAGCACACATTTTCATAATCACATAGTGAAAAATTTTAGTATTTAATTTGTTTGATCATTGTATTGATCGTCACGTTTGTTGAGGATTATTTATTGTACAGATTTATTATTGGTGTTGAAGTTGAAGATAGTGAATGATGCAAAATCAGTTCACTGTCAGAATGAAGAAATAAACTCCTTTGTATCATTATTGAGGGGTTACAATAAACTTGTAATATTTTATGTTAATAAAAACAATTGCATTGGTTTGACTGATATTTAGCTTATTCTTGTCTGAAAATGAATTCCTGATTTGCAATGATGATATAGATAATAGGTAGGGGCTTCAAGTTGGTTTAGCCAGTTGAGCTCCAATCCAACCCAAATTTGCAAAATTTTAACACACCACATGTTTTGAAAAAGTCACAAAGTAACCAGTTTAACAACTTTATAAACAAGTATAAATGAAAAGTAATTAATACAAATAAAATACATGAATACAGAATAAGGAATTGCTTATCAAATGATAAATGACATATAATATAAATGAAGTTAAATAATAAATTTGTGCGGTTGGGGGGTCAAGCTTCAATACAACCCAAAAAATTAACCAGAACCCAATAAAAAAACAGATGGGGTTAACCCGAAATTTTTCAGGTCGAATTCATGTCAGTTTTGATGTCGTATCTAGGGCTGTCAAAAAAACTCGTTGTTCGTGAACTGTTCGTGTTCGGTTCGGCGCATGTTCAATTCGTTCGATAAGTAAACGAGACGAACGTTAACAAATTTTTTTTGTTCGACTAGTTAAACGAACCAAACACGAACAGTGATGCGTTTGTTCGTATTAGAATCGTTATTGTTCGAAATATATAATAATTTAAAATAATTATATATATATAATTTATGATATTTTAAATAATTAAATTTTATAAATTATAATATATAATAAATTAATAATAATAATATATTAATATATTATATTAGTAATATACTAATGTAGATATATTTATATATATTAATATTAGGGATGTCAAACTGCTCGTCGTTCGCGAACAGCTTGTGTTCGGCTCGTGTTCGACTCGTTCGTTAAGAAACGAACACGAACAGTGACTTCACGAACAATTTCAAATACGAGCTTATTTCAAACAAAGTAAATTTCAAACGAACCGAACACGAACACAAGCTCTGTTCATTTGTTTTCGATTCGTTTACACCCCCAGTCGTATCATTTATTTACATTCCTAAAAATTAGTGTTGAGAAAAAGAAAAATAGGTTCCAGTACCGATATTTGTTTTTGCTGTAGGCCATTACAAGAATTGTAAAAGTTAATTTTCCTCTCATAGCCTACACAGCTCAAACAATAAACAATATTTAATTATAATTATAAGATTTATGTAACAAGTGGTCAACCTCAACGGACAGTTGATGCGACTGAGTCCTGCAACTAATATTCATAAGATGTCTCCGACTTCCCACTTGTTGCAGGTAAATGGTAAACAAAGTGGGGGGAGAGGAGGTTGGTTCCCAGCTGGGTGGCAGCCGTTGCTCTGGCTTTAAATACAAATATGTAAAACTTCCCAAGACTGAGAATTGCTAATCTGAGCTTAGTGGTGATTGCTATTTTAGGCAACGGAGTGGCGGACCACTTACAGAAGGAAACAGCCTGTTTTTTGTTGGCAACGATGGGGTTTGGCTTCCTCTGTTTTTTACGTCATGATGACGGTTAGATGAGGTTAGACTAAAAACTAACTTGGACAAATATTTTTTTTTTACATTTCTTTGAGGATTTAAGCTTTTTTTTATTATTTTCTTTGACTTAGCTCTAGGAGAGAATTGAGCTAGGGTCCGAGAAGAAAAAGGTGTTGAACGCTTTTGGGGAGTATAATCTCATGTAATCAGTGAACCTTGTAAAGTAGATGGAAAGAGCAAATAATTTTTTTAGAGAGAGTCCGCGGGAGTTTGAGCCTCCTCACTTCTTCACCTTTACCTTCTATTTATATACCATAGAGCCTATGTGCCATGAGGTCTGAGGAATAAATAAAAGGCTACATTATAGGTCGTACTGTATGGAACCTAAGTGGACTCGATGTTGATAAAATCTTTGGTATGGATGTCAGACGATCAATAAATAGGTATGTACTAAATGACTGAATATAATTCTCTTTCTACTGCCTCAAAGAACTATTCATCAAACTCAGTAATGTAGTTAGGTAGCTATCAACAAGTTTTGAGGGAAGATTCTACTATTAGAAGAGAGCTTAATAAAAGAGCTTGTGTCGGAAATTTGAGCAAGCTCGGTTGAAGGAGCTTTCCTGAAGGTTTAAGGTTGGTAAACCCAGTTGGAGGAATGCTCGCACGTTTGTTGGCGAGCTTCAGAGATACTCTCTAGGTCCTTCCGAGCAGCAAAAAGTTACGTAACTTTTCACCTCCAAAAATACAGCTAATAAATACGAGCATAACCAGACCATAAGTAAATGGTCAATGTGCTCAATTAATCTATTAGACCCATGAGACCTACTTAGTACTGGATTACGAGCATAACCAGACCATAAGTAAATGGTCAATGGGCTCAATTAATCTATTAGACCCATGAGACCTACTCGGTACTGGATTTTTGTTGCTTAAGAAAACTCATTTTTGGATGTACATTTAATTCTTGGATTATCTTAGCTTTTCGGCATGATAATGCGAGAAAAATGACAAAATAAGAGAAAGAGTTGCCTCTATGCATCACTAGAAGAATGAGAAAGTCCCAACAAGCATTCTACTCTGTTGAGGTTTGTTCATATTCAATCAAAATGGTGATTTATGTCGCCAATAAGCTTTTTATGACTATGCCTTGAAGCTTGGTCACAAAAGTTTACTATTGAGCTTGTACTATTCTTCCTCTTGGGGATCAAAAGCTACACCTATAGGGAGTAGTCACAAGTCCTCTCGAGTAATTGTGTACTATTTCTCATTCAGAAGCTTTTATTTTTTGGGTGGCGGATGCACCCCATTGATTCCCTTGTTGTGATTCGTTCAGGATATAGAAGGACTCTTTCTTGTTGTTGAGTTACCTTGGGCGAGAGTGCCTGATGTAAAATGAGGAATGAATGATGTAACTTGTTTCTGTCACTAGGAGACTTATGCTGCCAAGAAGTGGTATAATAGTGTGTGAAGAGTTTGATGTGATGTTAAATATTTGAGTGATTTGTGCGTAAATATAAAGTTGAGGTGTGAAATATGAAAATAAATAAGAATTGTGAAAATTTTTGGAAGCAAATTGTTCAAAAATTATTAACAAATCAATAAATTATTAACTAGTTGCTATCAAATTATTTAAATTTTATTGTATCGTGAATTATCATTGGTCTCAAACCACCAAAATAAGGACTTGTTATAGGAGAATAATATAAAAATAAAAAAAAAATAATATGAAGATCAAGATGAAACAAAAAAAGGCTTCATATCTCTCTTATTATTATTATTATTATTATTATTTTTTCAGAAGCAAGAAAAATAGTCTCTCACCTCATAGATGATCTTTCATATTTATAAGTTTGTCCACAGTTGGTTACATAAGTGACAACATAAAAAGAGAAAAATACATTGAAACCGTGCTAGTATGTTCTTGTGTGTAGCACATCATATGAGATTGAGTTTTTAGGCTGCAGGACGAGTTGATAGTCAGGCAAACTTGTCGAGTTAGTCCATTGATCGAGTTTGTAGAATTATAATAGGTGAATTATCAGACAAATTGGTTGAGCTAATATTTAATGTTCTGTACAACTGAATCTACTGGATTTTAGTTCAGCGACTTCGTTGAACTGTATATGCCAAATTGACTTGCCAAGCTGGTTGGGTTTGCCCGCGGCTTGTGCTTTCCACAAATATTTATACTTGAAATATTTGTCAAATCACGTGCCTAAGTTTGTCCCTTACTTTAAACTTGACTCAGCTTTTATAATTTGAGGAACATTAAATTGGCCAGGGCAGACCCCCAACCAATCCCATGTGAATAATTTACTTGTTATAGGAGAATAATATAAAAATAAAAAAAAAATAATATGAAGATCAAGATGAAACAAAAAAGGCTTCATATCTCTCTTTTTTATTATTATTATTATTATTTTTTTCAGAAGCAAGAAAAATAGTCTCTCACCTCATAAATGATCTTTCATATTTATAAGTTTGTCCACAGTTGGCTGCATAAGTGACAACATAAAAAGAGAAAAATACATTGAAACCGTACTAGTATGTTCTTGTGTGTAGCACATCATATGAGATTGAGTTTTTAGGCTGCAGGACGAGTTGATAGTCACGCAAACTTGTCGAGTTAGTCCATTGATCGAGTTTGTAGAATTATAATAGGTGAATTATCAGACAAATTGGTTGAGCTAATATTTAATGTTCTGTACAACTGAATCTACTGGATTTTAGTTCAGCGACTTCGTTGAACTGTATATGCCAAATTGACTTGCCAAGCTGGTTGGGTTTGCCCGCGGCTTGTGCTTTCCACAAATATTTATACTTGAAATATTTGTCAAATCACGTGCCTAAGTTTGTCCCTTACTTTAAACTTGACTCAGCTTTTATAATTTGAGGAACATTAAATTGGCCAGGGCAGACCCCCAACCAATCCCATGTGAATAATTTGAGGGCTTGAATCCGTAACCCTCAGAATCTTACAAACGCTGCTAACCAATGAACCACAGTGACATTATAGACACACACACACACACACACACAC